AAGGAAACTAAGGGTTACTACTTCTATATTCCGGCAGAGAACAAGGTGTTCATTGCCAAGAATGCGTCTTTTATGGAGCGAGAGTTCGTCTCCAAAAGAGTCAGTGGGAGTAGGATCGAACTTGAGGAAGTTCGAGAGCAACAAGTAGACACTGAGCTGAGTCAACAAGTTGAAGAAGTTCGGTTTCACTGACGGTTGTGACTCAACCTTCGACGAGTGAACCTCAGAGATCAGGCAGGATTCGCAAAGAGCCTGAGAGATATGGATTTCTCGTGACTGGGAATGAGGAGCTCATGTTATTAGAACATGATGAACCTTCCACATACCAAGAGGCTATGACGAGTCCGGATTCCGAGAAATGGCGTGAGGCTATGAAGTCCGAGATGCAATCCATGTCAGACAACCAAGTATGGACTCTGGTTGAGGCATCTGAAGGGATAAAACCCATCGGATGCAAGTGGATCTTCAAGAAGAAGACCGACATGGATGGCAACGTGCACACGTATAAGGCACGACTTGTGGCGAAAGGATTCCGTCAAATTCATGGTATTGACTATGATGAGACCTTTTCGCCCGTAGTTATGCTGAAGTCCATCAGGATCCTACTTGCCATAGCTGCATATTACGACTATGAGATATGGCAAATGGATGTCAAGACTGCGTTCCTTAACGAGAACTTGACCGAGGATGTATACATGACACAACCTGAAGGTTTGGTCGATCCAAAGAACCCGGGGAAGGTGTGCAAGCTTCAGAGGTCCATTTATGGACTGAAGCAGGCTTCGAGGAGCTGGAACCTTCGCTTTGATGAGACAATCAAAAAGTTTGGTTTCTCACAAAACGAAGACGAGCCATGTGTTTACAAGAAGGACAGTGGGAGCACAGTTGTACTTCTAGTGCTATACGTGGATGACATTCTCCTTATAGGAAACGACGTTCCTACCTTGCAAGACGTTAAGTCTTGGCTAGGAACGCAGTTTTCTATGAAGGACCTAGGAGAAGCAGCCTATATTCTAGGAATAAAGATCTATAGAGATAGATCAAGGCGTCTTCTAGGATTGTGTCAGAGTACTTACATCGATAAGGTCGTGAAACGGTTCAAGATGCAAGATTCCAAGAAAGGAACCTTACCAATGAGCAGTCGCACAGTTCTCTGCAGGATTCAGTGTCCTACGACACCTGATGAGCGAGAACGCATGGATCGGATTCCATATGCTTCGGCAATTGGATCCATCATGTATGCCATGCTTTGTACTCGACCGGATGTATCTTATGTGTTGAGCATTATGAGTAGATACCAGTCAGATCCAGGTGAGTCGCACTGGATCTCCGTCAAGAACATCCTGAAGTACTTGAGAAGGACTAAGGATGTGTTCTTGGTATACGGTGGGTCGGAAGACGAGCTCGCTGTAAAGGGTTATACCGATGCTAGTTTTCAATCAGACCCGGATGACTACAGATCGCAGTCTGGCTATGTTTTCTGCTTGAACGGAGGCACTGTTAGCTGGAAGAATTCCAAGCAGGCGACCGTTGCAGATTCTATTACAGAAGCTGAGTATATTCCAGCGTCGGACGCAGCAAAGGAAGCTGTTTGGATCAAAAAGTTTGTTGGAGACTTGGGTGTCATTCCTAGTACTGATAGCCCCATTGCTCTGTATTGTGACAACAATGGAGCGATCGCACAAGCAAAAGAACCCAGATCCCATCAACGATCCAAACATATACTCAGACGATTTCACCTTATCAGGGAGATCATAGACAGAGGAGACGTGCACATTTGCAGAGTGTCGACAAATGACAACATTGTCGATCCGTTGACGAAGCCTCTCACTTCGTCGAAGCATGAGGGTCATGTTAGGGATATGGACATTAGATGTTTAGCAGTTCATGATTAGAGCAAGTGGGAGATTCTTGGTTTAGTTCTCTATGACGTACTGTTGTATGAGCTTTATTTGGATACATTTGATGTATTTACACTTTCTATGAGTTTATGGATGAGTGTTTTATTCGTTACATGTTTTGGCATACTTGATGTGTTATGAAATCCATGTATTGTGATGAACGATACTAAACTCCCTAGTCATGTATCATTGTGGGAATAATGATATACTAAGACTAGTATGATGTGTGATTGATGATCATGTAGTTGATCATTGGTATTGGATACGATCACAATCATAGATATTCGTTGGAGAACGGAATACCGGACGGTCATTGAGAGGCTAATGCTAGCTGAGCAATCTGGTTGTCTATGAGCTTGAAGTGAGCATCGATGCTTGCGAACTGAGCTCGAAATTCCTGATTCGCCTTCTCCTGATTCTGTATAAACTGTATAAGCAAAGTGTGCATATCGGGGTTAGATTCAGGATTACCTGGAGGTGTGGCATTGATATAGGATTGCCTAGGACCCCTGGATTGAAAAGCAAAACTGGGAGGAATCCTCTGGTTCGAGTTGTTGGATGCTCTGAAGTTGTTCGGCACGGGGTTCTCCACATTGTTTGACTTGTAGGAGAGATTGGGATGATTCTTCCACCCCGGATTGTACGTGTTCGAATAGGAGTTATTGTCCACGTAGTTCACACCTTCGACTCTCTCATCCAATGCGTACATACCGAGCTCTTCTTGTGTTGGCATCAAATGCTTGGTCCTAGAGGGTCGGTTGGAAACTTCGAACTTAGCATTGAGGACAGCCAATTGTTCGAGAACCATTTGCATGGTCTGATCATTGCATTCCCTTGGCAGATCTCTAGAGTACTCGTTCGGAGTGTCTTCTTCTTGGGCCATCATCTCAATATGTTCTTCTAACTCAGCAAATGACTTGTTCTGGATGCGCCCACCACAAGAAGCTCGGATCAAAGTTTTGGTATCCATTCTGAGTCCTCGGGAGAAGGTGTTGATCAGGTAGTTCTTGTCAAGCCCGTGATGAGGGCAAGACTTCTGATATTTTTTGTACCTCTTCCAAGCGTTATAAAGGCTTTCCCCGTGATCTTGCTTGAATGAATGAATGCCAGAAAGAGCTGCTTGAGTGCGGTGAGCTGAATTTTTTTTTGACATAAACTGCACTTCCAGCTGTTCCCAGGTGTGGATGGAATCGGATGTCAGATCGTGACACCATTCCAAAGTAGCATCCAAGAGAGTCCAGGGGAAAGACTTCAAGTGGAGTGTATTCTCTGTCACCCTGTTATCTCTCTTGATAGAATGACACTGTTGGTTTAGTGCTCTATGATGTACTGTTATGCGAGTTTTATTATGATACATTTGATGTATTGACACTTTCTATGAGTTTATAGATGAGTGTTTGATTCATTACGTATTGTGCATACTTAATATGTTATGAAATCCATGTATTGTTATGAACAATACTAAACTCCCTAGTCATGTATCATTGTGAGAATAATGATATACTAAGACTAGTATGATGTGTGATTGATGATCATATAGATGATCATAGGTATTGGATACAATCACAATCATAGGTATTCGTTGGAGAACAAAATACTGGATTGACCCGCATGAGATTGTCACATGGACTAGCATCATGACTTGAATCTCATATGGCGGTTCCATGATTGGATCCTAAGACCTAAGATATCTACGAAATCCAACATGAGGAGTTGCGTGCTTTGAATACGTCAAACGTCCTGCGTAACAGGAGGACTATAAAGACGTGTATCAGGTACGAAACGAATCATGTGCTGGATTGTAGATAGTCAAGACGGGATTTGTACCTCTCGGTAAAGAGAGAGATATCACTGGGCCCCTCGTGTGAGCGAGACTGTAGAAATGTGTGGCCGCACTATAGACGAACGTCGTCTATTTCAGACACGCAAGGAAGGACAAAACGCACGAGAAAACGACGGAAAAACCAAGATGGAAGGGTCTGGAACGGACATACCAGAAGTCCGGAACGGACAGTCTGCCAGGTCCAGACCCGACGGTCCAGAACGGATTGTCCGTTCCAGAATGTCTAGAACAAACGGTCCACTTAACGCAGACCGTCCGTTCTGCATAGCCGGAACGGACAGTCCACGTATATTTCTGGACCGTCCGTTCCGGGCTTCGTATCTTTTCAAAATTAAACCGAAATTAGGGTAAAATCACTTTATAAGAAGGAGATTGAAAACCCTAATAGAGGATGAGACTTTTTGAGCCGTCTTTGACAGAATTCTAAGAGCTTTCGATGAGATCCAAAGAGTTCAAGGAATTCTAAGTCTTGTTTTCTCGAAGCATCAAACTGAATAACAGATTCGGGTCCTAGCAGACAAGTTCCAACCGTTGGAATCCATCCCGAGGTGTGGATACGTATAGAGGGCGAGGTATTCTTCCTCCCTTTCGTGATCAGACAAATTCTTCAATTGATACAGGCCCCAGATCGATTGAGGTAAGAGTTCTAATGTTTCTACGATTCATAGAAGCATGGTTCTAGGGTTTATTAAATTTTTGTTTTACATCCGTTGCGCAAACCCTAGAATCGGTCTCTTAGGAATAGGATTCGCTCTAGAGATCCCAGGAAATCCAACATGACCTTGGTGCAAGTGTTAACTTTTTTCCACTTTCAATCTACAAGAAGTTAAACGTAGGGGAACTCAAACCAATAAGGATGACACTACAATTAGTAGACCGATCGATCAAATATCCTCTCGGGATACTAGAAGATGTGCCGTTGAAAGTAGGTGACTTCTATGTGCTGGTAGATTTTGTGGTAATGGACATGAACGAAGACACGAGAATACCTATTATCCTTGGTCGACCTTTCTTAAACACAGCAGATGCAATAGTGCATGTAAGAGCAGGTAGACTCACTTTGAAGATCGGAGGTGAAACAGTTGAGTTCACACTAGATAAGAACCTTAAACAACCAATGTCTGTAGACTCTGTCTGTTACATCGACGCTCTAGATGCGCTAGCAGATGAATTCTTGGAAGAGTCCCGCGACCTTGATCCTTGATAACGCAAATCTAGGTGTATAAATAAGCTCAAGTAATAAAAGACCTAGATACAGCGAATACCGCAAGGATACGGGTCAACTGTAGTACCAGGGTCGAACACAGGGAATAGTTAACACTAAGAGCAAGACTCGACTGAGAATCAGATCAGGAAATAGCAGATGTAATAGATGAATACCGAAAATAAAGCAATAAATAAACTAAGTAAAATCAGATAATTAAACCACCGTAGCTTCGGGATAACCTTAATGCGCATTGAGAGATAGGTTAATCGGTTTAGGAACTATGATAGTGATCGTTAATGCATTTGATATTTTAATCTATTAGGTTGAGAGATCGATAGGTTAAATTATTGGATAGTGGATTTAGGACTTGAGAGAGCCAAATCTGATATTAGAACTTGAGATCCCCGATTAGAGTTCGATATTCGTAGATTCTCCATCCTTAGAATTATGGGTTGCGAGTAGTCTTTTCACTGTAGCTAGGGATTTAACCTTGTAGGGATTTGTTTGGTTTTTATTTTCCGAGACTACGTTATCGATACTCTTCGGTTTAATTGAATTGAGTTTATTGCTTTTGATCTTCTTGGCCAGTTGATTGATTGATTTTAGATTCTTATTTACAACGAGAGTTGAGATTAGATTCAGAACGAATTCATTGAATGAATTGATTAAGACTATTGAGAGATAAGTTAATCGGTTTAGGAACTGTGATAGTGATCGTTAATGCATTTGATATTTAATCTATTAGGTTGAGAGATCGATAGGTTAAATTATTGGATAGTGGATTTAGGACTTGAGAGAGCCAAATCTGATATTAGAACTTGAGATCCCCGATTAGAGTTCGATATTCGTAGATTCTCCATCCTTAGAAACAATCCCTGCGCATTAAGGTTATCCTGAAGCTACGGTGGTTTAGTTATCTGAATTTACTTAGTTCGTTTATAGATTTATTTTTGCTATTCACATATTTCATC